ACTCCGTCCGTTATCCTTTTTCTTGCAGGATACGGTTTTGGCTCAGAAAGTGAGTGAGTGCTCCTATATTCCTTAATGATCCTATAAACACTGGACCGACATACTCCAGAAATATGTGCTACCTTACATATAACTTCGTCCACGACCAAATCGGGTTTTTCTTGAATTTGGTTTTTGTATATATTTAATATTATTTGTTTTTCATTTGCACTTAAATGTAGCTTCTTAGCCCTTTTTTTGGGTGGGGTTGCGCTGATGTCAACCACTTCGTCGGCTGTATCTGTGTCAGACATCGTATCTTAGGCAATATATAAACAAAACGTTCCACTCGCGAAAAACGAGTATACGCTACTGAATGCGTAATGCGTATGCAATGCAATCCTGTGCGTGAATTAACTGTTAGATGCCTGTCGTGTCATCTACAATCACGTTTACAAGTCCAAACCTGTGCAGATTCGTAGAGCGCCGACGACTGCTAGTGACCTTGAATTTGTCTGTAGATCGATGTTACTCCAGTCAATTTAGGTTCAAAGTGGATGTTTTCTAAATCAATTTGTTGTTCCTACATCAAAAATATATCGATGATGTTTTGTACTGGGAGCTCATGAAAGATCAAGGTAACTTATTTTAACAGTCATCCTTTTTCTAGTCTCAAGATGACACGAAAAAGGGTCTGTGGATTCACTAGAAATACACTGCCGAGGATGTTTAGACCTAAAGTGACTGGAGTATATCCGTGGATACTTTCGAGGGATCTGTTCACGTGCTGATCACTGTTTACGTTTAATGTCTTTCTTCAGCGCCCAGAGTTTAGGTGGTGCATTTTATATGTCGGTATATATTTCTGTTGAAAGACTGCTTCAGGGATATCCCGTTATGACTGGATTGTATAGGTGCACCGTTAATTTTCATCGGTTTATCGATCGTCTATCGGAAGAGACCTTTTAACCCCCGGTAATGCCTTGAAGTCTAATGACGCCGGGTTAATTGAAAAAACGACGGATAAGAGGGAAAAAGCCTCAGCTGGATGCCATGAAAAGGCCAATCAGGATTGTCATTAACTGCAGACCCTAATAAATGATGCCAAACGTCTGGAGGACGTCTGTCAGTGACTGCTCCCGTCTATAAGCTTCGCTTCAGATATTGTATGAAGTTAGTACTTTACGCGCTATCAGTATCGTATTTATACAAAATGGCTAACAATGGCGTCAAGTAACTTGATTTATCTTCTCCAAGACTTCAAAACAACTTCCAGTACAAATTTCGATGTAGTGCAATGGCATCAAAAAAGGTTTTGTCAGGCCACTATTTGGGCCTTTCATGGAAAGAAGTTGCCTCAGATTGCAGCAAAGAGTGCGTCCGTACATGGTATCCTCATTTCTGTTGAGCTCTAGTATAAAACACTTCGTCAGCAATGTTTGATAACCAATTATAGTAGCACTTGATAATTACTTACATAGTATAAATATTATAAGTATATATAACAATATATAATATTCATTACATCACGAAGTTAAGTAACCTCATTAAATTACACTCAAAGCTTAATACTAGTATGTACAAGGTGTAAAGTAAGTAGAAATTCATGAAGCGAAAATAAAGATTATGGAAAACGCAAATTCATTTTAAAGACTAAAGGACAATTTTATTAGAAGGTGTCGCTTGAGTATAGAAAATGGAGGCCATTTAGAACGAGTCCTTTAAAAGTGAGTTAAATTAAAATATTTTCCACATTTGTCGGTAAGTCGTCATAAAGAGCGGCTAAACACAATAGGTTTTGTACTTGTAGGTGGTAAGGACCCTATTGCGTTTCTTACGTTTATCGCAACACAACAACGAATGTGACATGATACACTAATCGTAGCATATGTTTTAATTCCCCCTATCACCTGACTTCCGTTGATCCACTACTAACTTTACACCCTGTATATGTGTATTTATCAACTTTACATGTAAGGTCTCAAGAACCTGCCATCACTTCACCTCTGTGTAGATTTATAAACACCATTGTAACAGTCGAGTCGATTGTTTCTCCTGCAGGGAGCGAACCAGATGTGACTAAGCAGATTCGTACCAAGACAAAAATCATACCTCCATTATTTCGTAGCATTTTGCTTCTAGAACCACACCAGGTTTGGTGGATGCAACAAGTTCAGTACAGTACAATACTCACGTCCAAGCAACAGGTTCAGTAAATGTCACATTTTTTGATAAAATTGATGGAACGTATAGTACTCGACTATAGTTTAGAAATTTTATGTGTGTGTGTTTGCCAGTTGAAATGCGATTTATGGAAAACAAAGGACATAACCGCCCGTAAGCATACCCTATTATTATGTACCAGTTAAACGTATATTTCATAAAGCCTTCGTAGAGCATTTAATACTACAAAGAGCAATAATTGTGATGTTTTCAAAAACGAATACACCGTTTGGGTCGAGCTGCTACGCTATTTTCGTGTATGCTCCGCAAAAAATTCGAATGGGTTTTTTAATTAATCGCTTTATGCGGGAATCGCTAAATTTTGTAATACATACTGTTTTGTTTACAAATAGTCCCAGTATGATTGGCCCCTGTCCACTAGACACAGAACAAATATGCGTTTCGGCAGGCCCAAGGCTTACTAGAGCCATCCATCATTGCGTTCGTGAAATTGTTGTTTTTCTTGTTTCGAAATTTGTTGACTGTTCCATTGATGGGTAACATAGCTTTTCAAAATCAACTTGTTCTGTTAACGTCAAATACGGTGTAGACATGTAAAGTTAAGAAAGTACCTAGGATGGCAAATTTTGAGGAAGACAGAAACAATAGACCTCAAGACTTGACCTCACTCTTATAATAGGATGATTCAGAAACAGGTACATCTAAAAATAACAAAAAAGTTCCTATAGGCATACTATATGTCCTAAATGTCCCAGCACCAAAATACAGGGTGTGGTAAATTTCTACGCCACTGATGAGACTGAATAAGGATAAAACACGGATATTATACACATAGCTTCATGATACTTCATGATTACTCTCCTAATAAACTAACTTCAGTGTATTTTCAAAGTAGAACGCATTGAAGCTTTTTCTAAGGACTTTACTTTGAATACTCAAACCAATTCGTCTCCAGCAGGAATTAACAAAAATTTGTCAAATGGAGAGGCGGTTCGTATAAAATGGAATGCTTCATTCAACAATGCAATACATATTTCAAATAGGTCAGTGGCGTAGAAAATAATTCTTTTTTTCTGGTAGGAATTAAAATGTCCCATTTCCTACGTTACTGATGTTGTCTAAGATACGAACATCTTTGTATATATTAGCTATGACGTCAGTGCTACATATACAAAGTTTCAAATAAATTTTGTAACCCCGATGCTAATATACATGTATGTTTTTTCGATTCCGAAACACCCCAAGTTTGTTACACAGTTTTCTAATAAATAGAACCCAAATGGTTATCCGGGATTTTTCTGCAGAAGTTCTGATTCCTTCAGGAGTGCTTCTAGGACCAGTTCTTAAATTCTTCAATTATTTATACCTATCTTCATTATAACATTTATTGAAATTAAATGCCTTTATAACTGATCGTGAATCTCTAAGCATGCTAATGTCCTGATTCTCCGCAATTTACTTATACATCCTGCATATAATAGATTATCGTTTAGAAAGTATGTTGCCAAATTCATGGCAAAAGCTCTCATTCTACTCCTATCAAAAATCAATAATCCAAATTCATATACAAACTTACGATCTAGTTATTTACCTACGCTTTCAGAATTATTTGAAGAGGTTATGTTAATTCAAATAACTTGAAATGTTTTAGGGCATGAGGTTCTACCTGAAAAAATAATGTGTACTTCAGAGAGATCACAGTACGGCAAGTGCCTTTTCGATTTTACTCATAATACCATCGAAGCGTGGAATCAGCATTCAGTTAAACCAGCAGCTCTTGTGGACTTCCCAAAGATATTAGATACAATCGCTTTTTATTGATAAATGCAAGTATTATGATTCCGATAATTTCTCACTGAGCTTCATAAGCAGCTTTCTGATGAACAGATCCGAAAGCGTCGTCATCGATTCAGGATTTACTATACAATGTCTGATTTCTTCAGGACTTTCTCCAGGATCAGTGCTTGTCACACTTCTCTTTATATTGTATATAGCAGACTTGGACAGAGTCGTGAAATGTTGTAGTATTCACTTCTCATATAAATTTAGGAATCGTGGAATCTCAAATAACAGAGGACCTAGGTTCTAGTGAAAATTATGCGACATAACATAGTGTCTGGTTGAATCCCTCCAAATCCGAAGATATTATTTTATCTCCTGAAAATCTAAGGCCCTCTATCAAAAATACAAGTAATTTTAGCATAACTTCAAACGGTCTCGCTACTTAGAGTATTTAATTCAAAAGTAAAGAGTAAGAATCCCATGTGAATAATGTAACTAAAACTAGTTTAACGGGAGTTGTACTTAATCAAAGAGAAACATAATTTCGGGGCACAAAAAGATGTTATCTCTAGTAATATAAAAAATTACACAATGCGATGTAGTATATTATCCACTTTTAGATTCAGCTTCAGCTAAACGTTTACAAAAAATTCAAAAGTCATATTGTACTTTGATTTGCAATTTAAGAGAACATCTTATTGATCTTTGAAATAAAAACTGATACCTCGTGAGTATATTTACTGACAAAATATTCAATAAACAGTCACTTTAACTGTACGTACGCATCAAATAGTTGGAATCGACAAACTGTCGGTTGTCGATATTTTTAGCCTTCAGAATGTAGAATATCAATTTAAGCTATGCTAAAATTTCCAATTGCTTGCCCTTATAGAGATCTGATTTTTATGCTAACGAATGTTTACATTTCAGCTACAGAACTGTAAAGTTCAACTGTCAGTTCTATTTCTGTTCAAACTTGGTTTAGTTCTTAAATATTCAAAATTGCTCAAAGATAATACTACTGCTGTAAAAATATATGTAAAGCTTCATCTTACCTGGCCATTGTGCGTCCAGTAAATTGAAGGGGGTGGTTCAGGACTGTGTTTTACGATGCAGGTGAGATTCATGGTGCTACCCTTATTAATATACATTTCTGGTCCACCCAGTAGTGTCGTTACTGGTTCTGAAACAACAGACAGATCCGTTAGCGACGAGGCAAAACTTGTTAAAAGCCTTGCCAAATATTCCAGCCCACCACGTAGATATCGATTTCTGGCTACCCTGACAGTTGTTGACTATAAGGGTCTTCGCCAACTACTTAATTTAATTCTGCTGTTGCACAACGCGCTTGTACCATGGCATCTCATAGACAGACCTTTGAGTTTACAATGACCGATGAACGATTATTAATTGCAGCAAAAAAAGAAGGAGACGGAGGGGGTTCTTTTTATCTGTTCCCACCCGATAGCAATTGTCGCTTTTGTAGTTGACTGGATCATAAGAAACAATATACAAATTTAGTCATTTAGATGTTTATATCTACAGCTGTATAGAAAAGGTGCGGTTCCTGCTAGTATAGAATGCAGTTGATGAAACTGAACCCAACCATATTCACGCGTAGCCCACGTGATCGGATTCTAGAACGCCGAGCGTGTTACATGGCCGGCGAGGCTGCATGTACCGCTGTGTCGCCTCTCACACCACTGGTTTGGCATTGGTTCTAAATACGGGCTCAACAGATTTTAACCAATAACAGTTGTTCTCGTTTCTTGAAATATATCAAAGTGCTAATCACGCAATGATCATGCGCTAGTTACTACTTTGGGGCCAATAGCTTTCTTGGATAAATAGAATTTAGTGTGATTCTGATATGATACAATGGACAAAGGACTTAAATTATTGAACAGGCTAATGAGCTAATCATACAAATTCTAAGAAAACTTATCGGTACAGAAACCTTACAACTAATAAAAAACCACTTAAAAGGTATTTTTTTGCTCTATATGTAGTATTTGAGTTCTAAAACATTGAAATTCCGGACAACCTTCACAGCATGTAAATAATAATAAAGGAAACAGCTCGAAGAACTGATATGGAATTGCATCGTTTTCGCAGGAAATATTGTTACTGGTATACAGCGTATTTCACAACTTAGCCACTCAACGTCTGGGGCGCAAATCTCCACTAGCACGTGCACGTAAAGCAATTGAACTAAATGTGTCGTGATGTGGTATGTGCCTATTCGGAAATCGGTGTGCATACAAACGAGAAGCCGCTCGCGAATTTTGTCCACTTCTCCGTACGCTAAAACAATGTCCACTAACTCCTCATTAGTGTGCACATGTGCCATTTTTATTAATAAATAACTCCAAACATAAACTCGCAAAATACTTTCTTATTTAACTTCACAAAAATCGACCGTTCTTCATTCAGATCACCCACGATACAGATTAAACATTATTACACGTTCTTATCAGTATGAAAAAACATAAAAATTCCTGTTATTTTGTTTTTGTCAGTTGTTTGGTACATTTGCTACAATAAATGATTAATACGCGTTCTAACATCACGACGATGAAAGCAAAATACAGATATTAATATTTCAATTTGTTATTGAAACTCAGGTTTATAACTTAATTTCTATAGGACTTTTATTACATTTCTTTTTGAGAGATCAACTACTTTCATAACAGTGCATATGTGGTTAAAATTTGTCCGATAAGTTGTGAGAGACCCTGTATCACTTGATCAAAAAAATCATATTAACCGTATTTTTTATTTCTTATTGTTATAAACTATACTTAAATATTGACTTATTCACATTTCACAAGTTCAACAAAAAAATTGACATTGTACGATAGGTGTTGTGCGTGTAAAATTCCTTTTTCAGGAACAGCTATTCAAAATATTTAGCGTGTATTTGAAGAATCTTTTAAGTCATACAAATGAGAAATATTGGATCAGTGAGTTTGGTAGGAAACAACGAAACTCATAAACAAGTGATTTCGGGGAACGGGGATGAGAGCTGTAATAATATTTTTGTAGTTAATGGGTTTAAATTTGATATTTCCGTGCATATAAATATGGAAATACCAAAATTCGGGTATACAGATACACCGTTTTTGAAATGACCCGTTTTAGTACCCGTCGTCGAGTAGCGTGTGCAAAAACTACTTAAGTCCCGGACTTGGAATGTTTTTGAACTAAACGTGTATTACGTGATGTTATTTGATGGGGAAGGAATGTGTTTTAATACGTATACCCAGAATACGTATCCACCTTTGATAAAGCGTCTTCAGCAGAAAAAGCATGTAGGTAAAACAAGGACTTAAGTGATTTTTGCACTGACACATTCAATAGTATACTCAGTGGCAAAGAAAATAGAACACGCTATAGAAATTATTTCATTTGAAAATTTGTATACAGACATAGATAAGCAAGAGGAGGTCATGGCTAAATTTTGAAGCGAAAAAATTGACGATATCGCTTGATTTTGGTAATAATCTGTAGGGACACCTTGAGGTCGTAAAGACACTCCAGTCGTCTGGGCATTCTTCGAATGTGGCTATTTTAGTCTTCTTGCTAACGTTAATGGACGGTCAGGTAAAGAAGTTGCTCTTGTCATATTTCGTAAGATTTCAATTGGCGAATGATCTGGAGATGTAGGAGTCCAAGGAAGGAGCTTGATTTGATGGTTATTAGGGTGCAATACTCTTCTTTCAGCGATATAGGGACTGGTATTATCTTGTTGAACAGCAGGCCTTTTAAATTTTTGTTACCTCCGCCTAAGAAGGCTGCACCACTCACTGCACTCAATCAGCTACATGCTGCCAAAATGCATCTGCGCATCTCTTGTCAGTCTTGAATAAATCGCTCAGCTCCCAATCAGACTACCGTGGGCTGAGCGGTTTAATCGCTGCCAGTCAGAGACGAGCGAAGTATTCTGGCAGCGTGTAGCTGAGGGGGTTTGAGTGTACTCGGTGGCGCAAACCGTCTGTTATGCGGAGATATTGGTTTGGAGGTTTTTGTCAGAGACAGTTTCAGACTCTTTCCGCCCATCATGCATCCCTAAAACAGAACTGAGACCGGGAAAATTGGGCTAATGGTACAACATTGTTTTAGTGATAATTTTGGGTCTGTTTTGGAATGAATCATGAACGGCCATAAGACGGAAGCTATCGTGCGATAAGTAAAGCTTTCAATTGAACGTCACAAGTGCCGCCAAAATGTAGCACTTAGGGTTTAGTGCGGCGTTGAATATGGTGCTAAGCTACTTTTAGCTGAATACTGGAGCCCGAATTTTTGCCATTGCTCCAAATCCATAAAAACCTATTTTCTAACAAGATAACGTCCGTACCCATATTGTTATAGCTATAATAATCTCAATAATGGTCAAGTCTGCCTCTTTTCTTGTCTCCAATATCTAGAGACATATTAAATAGCTTGGGATGAGATACCTCTAGAAGAAATTAATCACCTTCTAGGGCTCCGAGGACTGGATGCCTGTATAGGGCACTGGGGTCGCCGAGCAAATTATTAGGGAAATCCAGCGATAATGCAAATGTTCCACTCTACAATTTAATGACCAGTCCGTTGATTATGACTAACAGCATACAAGGTTCCATTCAAATAAAATCATTTTACTGGGTATTTTATTTTCTTTGTCACCGAGTATATTTTCCCAACTAATAAATGTAAGTGCTATCAAGTAAAATATACCTTAATACGTTCCATCTTTATCATACATATATAAATTACTGAATTAATACTTCAAAATTGAAACATAATACATCAAGCGAAAGCAATAATTGTATGCATTCATGAGAAAATTGGAGCAAAAAATATTTTAATATGTAACGTATATTCATTTATATTAAAATTCCGTAGCAAAAATACATCATTTAGCGTTAGCTGGAGCAAACTTTTCCAAAAGTAAACCATAGTCGGTTAAGCGATACCAATTTATATGCATGCACGTGAAAATTTGCATTGAAATTGTCCGTTACAGCAGGAAATTACATTTTCCTAGTTGGGAGTTTCTCCGATATATTCTGTTGCATATATCAATGGTAAATTTTTAGTCGCATCGAGCGTGTGCTTATGGCGGAAATGTTGCGAATTTATTGACATATTTTTATTGATGTATATTTTGATGGATGCACAGGCAGATTAAACTTTTCATAGCATAATCAAACTCACATTTCGGAGGTACTCCTAGGAAACACCTTCATCAAGATTAGTCGAAGCGTTAACAAATCGGACAGATTGACGTTAGTTATACAAGCATTGAATAACGCATACTGCCAGAAGATACCCGATCTAATACTATATTCTCGCGTCCAAAGAAATATCTGAAATGAAATGAGATTCCATAGTGTCATCTATGAGAATTTGTTTTTTCCTCTCTGCACTATTCAGACATCTACTTTAGAAAGGTCTACTAGCATACACCATATAGCATGTGTAAAATATTTCTAATAGAATGTAGATACGCCAGAATAAGCTTACTAATACAAAAACATGAGATATATCTTCCCCACCCCCAATTTATACCACTCACAAAATTCAAGAATGAGTAGGGGCAGATGCAGCATCAAAAAAGTAGGTTAGGTGATTTTCGACGTTTTTTTTTGCTTTTGGCCTGTAGCTCCGTCGCCACTGAGTAGATCTTCAAAGCCTACGAAGCCTTTTTGTCATTGACATAATAGTAATCTTGTGTCCAAATTTCAAGAAAATATGAGGTGTGATTTTCCAGTACTAGAAGGGCCAGACCGGCAGACAGACAGACGGAAATCAGGGACATGGTTCTTCATGAGGTAAATGTTATGAAACATCAAAAAAACATGATATCGCATTTTCTGAATTTTTTGCAATTTTCATACTTCCTGCCCAGCATGGGAAATAATAGTAAATGTGAAGTGAAATTTAACAATTCTCACACTAAAACTAATACAACAATGAAAGTTTAGGCTACAGTATTCATTTTTGATACTATTTTTTCGCATTATTGTCACACTGCCTCAGTGATATATGTCAAAATGTCTTGGTAACAAGACTGCTTGCTCTTTCTAAGACTTTGACAATTTATAATTTAGGATTAGAAGCAATTTGCCACGAAAATCCGTTATCATGCTGAATATAACTGTCACTGTTAGTAACTATGATAAGCAGCAGATGAGGATA